ATAGGCCAACTTACTAGAGAAGAGAAAACCGCAGAGGGAGAACCCTACAGATCTGCAGGGAGTCCCTTCAAGTATTCAGCTAGTAATGATGAGTGAGCATGCATGTGAAAAAAGTCATCTGAAGGGTTAGAGACAACAGTGGATGTTTCCATCAGCAAAACTAGAAAAACTCTTAATTCACATCTAATAAACATATATAAAAGTGGTTAAAGTACTCAGGAGAGAGTCAGGAAAACACATATCATAATGAGAATAATCAATCAAAACCAACCAAAAACTGACAAGATGTTGAAAATAGCAGAAGAGAACATCAACACAGTTATTAAGAGCATGTATTCTACATGTACAAAAACTTAAGTAGATCATAGAAGATATTTTAAAAAGTTCAAAATTGAAATTCTGAGATGAAAAAATACACTGAATGGTATTAACAGCAGATATGACATTGACAAAAAAAAAAATGAGTAAACCCAAAAGCACAGCAATAAAACATACTTAAAATGAAAAGCAAAGAGAAAAATAAAATTTGGTTTAATGAAAATAACATAAGTGAGCTGTAAAACACTTCAAGCAGCCTAATGTATGGGTAATGGGAGTTCCTGAAGGAAAAGAGAAAAAGAAAAGCCCAATAAAAATATTTGGTACGTGTTGTGGTGAGCGCTGTGTATTATGTAAGACTGATGAATCACAGACCTGTACCCCCGAAACAATACAGTATATGTTAATTAAAAAAATATTTTTAAGAAATGATGGCCAAAATTTTCCAAAACCCTACAAAAACTATAAACTCACAGATCAAAAAAGCTCAAAAAGGCTCCAAACACAAGAAACATGAATAAAAATACACAAAGAAACATCATAATTAAGTTTCACATAACCAGTGATAAAAAGAATTATCTTAAAAGCAATTAGACAGGGGAACCTGGGTGGTGCAGTTGGTTAAGTGTTTAACTCTTGGTTTTGGCTCAGGTCGTGATCTCAGGACAGTGAGATGGAGCCCCACAGTTGGCTCTACACTCAGCGTGAAATCTGCTTAAGACTGCCCCTCCTCTCCACCCCTACCCCACGCTCAATAATAAATAAATAAATCTTTAAAAAAAAAAGCATTCAGAAAAAAAGAACCTATTATATAGAGAAGAACAAAGATGAGAATGGTATCACACTTCTAATTGGAAACAGTGAAACAACATCTTTAAAATACTGAAAGAAAGCAACCCTCAACCTAGAATTCTATACCTAGAAAAAAAATCTTTAAAATAAAAAAAGCAAAATTTTCAGCAGAAAAAGTTTAAAGTATTCATCATCAGCAGGCTCACACTACAATAAATATTGAAGGAAATATTTCAGGCAAATAAAATACGATACCATACAGAAATACAGAACTCTGAAAAGAAATGAATAGTACCAGAAATGATAATGATGACAGTGAATATACAATATTTCTTTTATTATTTAAAACGCCTTAAAAGATAAACTTTTTAAACAAAAAAGAATAACAGTGTATTGTCAGGTTATAAGACAAGTAAAAGTAAAATACATCACACCATAACATAAAGTCCAAAAGAGTAGAAATGGAAACACACTATTAGAAGGTTCTTATATTATACTATATGTAAAATAGTATAATATCGGTTAAGTCTGATGATGATAATTTAAAGATGTATACTACAGATCCTGAAGCAATTAATAAAATGACAAAACAAAGAACCAACAAAGCTATAAAATAGAGTCACAAAGCTAATGAGGTAACAAAGGAGATAACCTGAATCATAAAAAGTGCTTGACTAATTCAAAGGAGACTTAAAAAAAAAAACAGATGGTACAAGTAGAAAAAAAGGAAAATGATATAACCAAAGTAACCATATCAAATATTATATTAAATGTAAATTATCTAAGACCCCAATTAAAAGGTAGAGATTATCAGGTTGAATAAGAAAGCAAGGCCCAATTATATGCTGCCTATAAGAAAAATACTTTAAATATGAAGACACAAATTAGTCTAAAGTAAAAGAGAAAAATGTAAACCATGTTAATACTATCTATTAAAGAAAGTTAGAGTAGCTTTATTAAGATTAGACAAAGTGGATTTCAGAGCAAAGAATATTACCAGGAATAAAGGAAGCCATTTTATGATTATAAAGTGATCAATTTATTAATAGGAACTGAATAATTCTAAATGTTTATGCATTTAAAAACAGAACTTAATAAAATACATAAAACAAAAACAAAAATACATAGAACTGCAAAAGGAAACAGACTAATTCAAGTATAGTTGTATATTTCAATATCCTTCTCTTAAATAATTGATAAAATAAATAAGGAAAAGATCAAAAAGGATATACTAGACTTGAATAACTCTATTAACCAACTTGACTTAAAGGACATTTAAAAACACTCCATCAAAAAATTAAAGAAGGAGCACCTGGGTGGCTCAGATCGTTAAGCATCTGCCTTTGGCTCAGGTCATGATCTCCAGGTCCTGGAATCGAGCCCCGAGTCAGGCTCCCAGCTCAGTGGGGAGTCTGCTTCTCTCTCTCCCTCTGCCTCTCCCCCCTGCTTGTGCTCTCTTTGTCTCTCTCTCTTCAAATGAATAAATAAAATCTTAAAAAAAAAAATTAAAGAATATATATCCTTTTCAAGTATACACAGACATTTAACAAAATAAACCATGTACTAATCATAAAATAAGTATGAATACATTTCAAAGGATTCAAGGTATTCAAAGTATGTCTGGGACCACAACAGAATTAAATTAAAAATCATTACCATAAAGATCTCTGGAAACTCCCTAAATATGTGGAAAACAAACAACATACTTCTAAATTATTCATGCGTCAAAGAAGAAAAGGAAAACCTGAAAGTATTTTAAACTGAATGAAAATGAAAGATAACATATCAGAATTTGGGGGATGTCACCAAAGAAGTACTTAGGGGAAACTGACAGCATGTAATGCCTATATTAGAAAAGAGACATCTCAAAGCAAAGACTTCAGCTCTCACCTTAAGGAACCAGAAAAAGAGAAAATTAAACCCCAAATCAGCAGAATTAAAGAAATAATAAAGATCAAAGATGAAATCAACAACAGAAAACCAATGAAACAAAAAACTCATTATTTGAGAAGATCATTAGAATTGATATATTTCTAGCCAAATTAAGCAGGAAAAAAGAGAGAAGATGCAAATTACCAATATCAGAAATGAAAGAGGTAGCATCACTACAGAATCTACAGGTATTAAAGAATAATAATGGAATACTGTGAATAGGTTTATGCCAATAAATTTGACAAATTATGAGGATCTGGAGAAATTCCTTGAAAAACACCAAAGCTCATTCAAGAAAAAATAAATGACTGGAACAATTCTATACCTATTAAAAGAAATTGAAACTGTACTTTAAAACCTTCCCAAAAATTAAACAGCATGCCCAGATGGCTTCCCTGGTAAAATCTACAAAACATTAAAGGATAAATAATACCAATCCTACAGAAACTTTTCTAAAACACTGAAGAGAGGGAAATAATTCCCAATTTATTTTATCAGGCCAGCATTACTGTGATACCAAAATCAAAGAAACACATTTGAAGAAAAGAAAACTACAGACACTAACACTCATGAAGCAAAAGTTATATACAAAACTTTAATAAATCAAACTCATTATTACATAAAAGGGTCAATCCATCTTAAGCAAATGGGATGTGTCCAGGGGAATATAGTTGGTTTAGCATTTCAAAATCAATCAGTGTAGTTCATTACTACATTAACAAGCAAAGAAAAAACATGATTAATTTCAATAGATGGAGGGAAAGCATTTGACAACTTCCATCACATATTCCTGATGTAAAAACAAACAAATAAACCAAAAAAATCTCTCAGCAAATTAGGAATAGATAGCATCTATGAAAAGCTGACAGCTAATATAATATCTAATAGAGAAGGACTGAATGCTTCCTCCCTAAGATCAAGAACAAAACAGGGAGTGTGCTCTCACCATTTCTATTCAGAACTGTGCTGGAGTTTCTAGCCAATGTAACTAGTCGAGGAAAAGAAAAATAATCAGGTAAACCAGGGGGAAAGACTAGAGGTAAAAATGGGAAATTATTTATTCTGGGCAAAACAAAACAATGAGAAACAGGAAACGGTGAGAAAATGGAGACATGAAATCACACAGGAGAACAAATACCCATAATTATGTCTAAGTAATGTATGTACAAACATCAGCTTCCTATTTTAAAGCTGCCTAAGTAAAGAATTAAGTGATGAAATACTAGGGAGGAGATAAATGCAAATTCTAAAGAACTTACTGAGGAAAACATAATAACTATTTTTGCTTATTTCAGCAAAGCATTCCTTGGGCAGCATTAACATATTCCCTAAAGTGGATGGATAAACTACAAAAATCTAGTATAAAACATTTCCTTAACATTTCTTTAAATTCCATAGTCTAATGTTTATTTCATTAATGTTAAAACAAAAATAAAGGGTAATGTAGCTTCAAAAGCTATAAAATTATAAAACACAGACTCTCTAAGCTGGGAAGAGCCTCTTTGAAAGGAAAGAAAACAGGGATCAAAGGACAAGTAGATCTACAAAGTTATAAAATTAGGTATAGTAATGGAAAAAGCAGTGTCACTGCTCTAACATTAATCAGTTGTGTGACTTTAAGAATGACCTTAATTCTCCCTGAATCTGAGTTTTCTGCATCTGTGAAATAAAGGAGTTAGACCAATTGATCTCTAAATTATCTTCATCATCTTTGAAAGTTTAAGATCCTATGATTCTAAACAAAATCATTAGCTAAAGGACATAAACAATAGACAAATATCTTTAACTGAAAGGAAAAATTAAAAATTTCTTATCTAAAATGAGGACACTATAGGTTTTTTTGTTCATTGGTTAACCTGAATATTAATTTCAATTGTCTGCTTTATTTTATTCACAATTAGCTTAACTGTATTATAAGCTTAGTTATAACTGAATTATGTGTAGTTTTCATTCTGTACCTTGTTTGAACGTAATGACACTCGACCTCCACAACGAGCACAGAATTTTGTTTGGCAATATGAACAGTTATGGCCACATCCATCAGCAAATTTTGTTTTGTGGCAAATACCACAGGTTGGGGCATCACCCTTCTGTTCTTGCTGCTGTTGTGATTCTTCTCCCATCTTCTTCACCTGCTCCTTGTACATTTCAAACTGCTGATGAAGTTTTCTGCAGAGAAAATAGATAAGAAAAATTTGATTTCCTGATGGTCTCAAAAAAATAATAATTACAACAATCTATACACAATTTTATATCCAAAAAATTCATAAAATGAGCATAAAGAATAAAAATTTAATTTTCTGATTATAGAATAACATCCTACATGGCACATCACAAGAGTGTTACAACTAGTTCTGCCCTCTGATATACATGGTAATTTAAGGGCCAATTAATACACATTAATAGAGATATCTCTTTGAGTTATAATTGTAATTTCTATCTACCATTTGTAACATATTTCAATAATATGCCCTAAAATATTTAAAATATTATTTTTCAAAGGTTTAGCTCAGAAATAGACTGAGCTGATTTGACTTACACAGTACAGCCAAAATCTATGAACTTCAAATCATTGAGACAACTCTCAGTTGGAGTGATCTTAAGAATCCAAACAGAGGGGAAAACACTGGATGAGTGCTTTCACTAATTGTTTAAATCTGCTCACAGTCTGGATATTAGTTGGCTTTAAAAACACTGTGAAATATTAGGAGCCTAGCAAATAAGGCTGTACAAATAAAAGTAAGGCCAATTTTTATCTTAAAAACAAACAAAAAAAATGAGAAAAAAGTTGCCTGGAAAGAGGTATTATTTACTCTTTAAAAATAAATACTGATAAAATTTTTCACCCCCACTATCTTCATAAAGGAAATTTAAAAATGTTTTAAAACTATAATTAACTCTGCTTAGGACTTACAAAACTGTAAATAATGTCACTCCCAACCTAAAAATGATAAAAGGCTAACTAATCTACAAAATCATAACTTTTCTTGAGCCCATCAGAGAGTTGAGGATATAAGGCAAACAAATAATAATCTGAACTCCAAAGAACAGCAAGCCCCTCCAAAGAGAAACGAAATACACTGTTTCACCGTTGGCAGGGCAGAAGAGAAGGAGAAAGAGGGGCCACCATTCAAGCAGGTAAGAGGAAATCAGTTAAAATTTTAACAAATTGTAAAAGGCCAAGTGTGGGCTAACATGACAGTTTGGAATAGCTAGAGGCCCAGGTGAAAGGAAAGTTCACATTCACTCAGCACTTTTCTGCAGGCCTCTACTGGTTACTTATGAGGAAGATAGGGAGTAAGGCATAAGAACAATTCTTTGGGGTACACATGTGTAGGTGTAAAAGAGTAACTAGTGGTTGCTGGGGTACAGGCACATTCCCCAGACTATCTCTCCTAAAAATGTCAAAGCTATAAACCATAGGGAGAAGAAGGAAACTCTGTCATCCCCAGGGCAAAGGCAAAGATCCACTGCAGCTAGGGAAAAGGTTAAATGGAAAAACAACCTCTACCCATGAAAGAGGGACAGGAAAACATCTTCAGCCAACATCCTTAACTCAAATCAAAGGCCTTTCATAACTAGGGAAGGGATGGAAATTCCCATCCCAAACCTATCAGAGATACAAGGCAGATTTACTTCTATGGGAAGAAGGGCCTAAGAACTCTGAGCAAACCTCATCCATAAGGCCCAGATGGACAGGTCCCGACAAAGATGAAGGGCAGGAAAACAACAAAACACCTTGCCCCTGCCACAAATCTAGAATCAAGAAATAAGCATCAATAGACTACTGCTGGGGAAGGGGCAAGAGCATATGGAGAGATGCCCCCTGTGGAGTAAGTAAATGGAAATGGCTGACGGGGTAGCAAAACACTGGAAAAAACTTCTGATACTCCTGCATCCATCCTAAATACAATGCAGCAGTAGCCCACTGGAGGAATCTGGAGGAATTTGAAGACTGTGATGCACTAAAGATAATGATGGCAAAAACAAAATCCAAACCTATCTGAACTTCTGACCTGACGATAATTTAATTTCCAACACTAACATTCTGACAGAAAAGGCATGCCCACTTTAAGGCATAAATACAATTCAAAGCCACCATACTCAGGGGAAAATAGCAAGGAATAAAGAACCCATTGTTGAGAGAGAAAATAATTAACATAATTAGATTCAGAGATGACAAGGATAATGGAATTATCAGAATTATCAGACTGACTTGAAAATGATTATAATTATTAAGGTAAAAGATTTATAGAAAAAGGGGGACAACAGGCATGAACAGATGGGGTACCAAAGCAGAAAGATGGGAAGTGTAAGAGTCATCTGAAAATGCTGGAAATAGAAAACATGGCATCAGAGATGAAGAATTTCTTTGATGGGCTAATGGATATGCTTGAAAGAACAAAGGAAAAGATTAGTAAACTTGAAATAAGTCAATAAAAAATATCCAAACAAACAAAAAAGAATTGGAGAAGGAAAGAAAAAAACAGAGCATCCAAGAGCTAACATGTGAAATCGGAGTCCCAAAAGGAGAAAACAGAACAGAGGAAATATTTGAAGGTATAATGGCCATAAACTTTCCAAAATTAATGAAAGCCACCAAATCACAGACACATAAACCTCAAAGAAGCCTTTGTAGAACAAACACCAAATACACACACCCTAGACTCATTATAGTCAAACTGCTAAAAACCAAAGAAAACTATGAAAGCAGCCAGAGAAAATGACACATTATATGTACAGAACCAATGATAAAAGTTACAGAAGATCATCTTTCAGAAACCATGGAAGCTAGAAGACTTTGCAGTAATAGCTATATATAGTACTGACGGAAAAAAATCTGTCAACCCAAGATCCCATATGCAGTGAAATTATGCTTCAAAAAATAAAGGCAGGGGGAGGAGCAAGATGACAGAGAAGTAGGAGACCTAAATTTCCTCTGGTCCCAGGAATTCAGCTGGATAGGGATCAAACCATTCTGAACACCTACGAACTCAACAGGAGATTGAAGAAAAGAATAGCAACAA